CACTTCAAAAAAGAAGATGCATGAAAAGGAAATGTGGACATGAAAAGACTCAATATCATCTGCTATCAATAATGAAATGGCGCTATAGACTGTTAAAAGATTAGAGTTAAAAGGACTGGCCAAAGGGCTGCAGAGATGGTTCCATTAACTGTGCATACTGCTCTTGCAGTAGCCCTGAGTTCGATTCCCAGCAGCCACATTAGACAGTTCACAACTGTGTAACTCCATCTACCAAAGATCCTCTGTAGGTACCAGCACTCACTCACACAGGACCACCCCCCCAATGGCACCCATAATCCTAAGAATAATAATGAAGGAAAAAGATTGCCCCAGCCTACACTTGTTAAAAACATGTGAAACCTGAGGTCTCTTTCTCTTACACTGCCAGGTGGGGACGGATAATGCGGCAGGCACTCTGGAAATGTTGGTATACTGTTTAAGTTTTTCAGATAAAGTCACATCCAGCCATTCCAGCCCTGGACACTAACAGAAGAGAAACAAAAGCTTGAATCCATATAAAGACGTGCAGATGTTCACAACAGCCTCAAAATAGAAATGACAAACATGCCCACCAGCAGAGACGTAGGTAAAGTATGGTATCTCCGTATGAGAAGCGTGATTTTACCTGGTATTTAAGCAGTGAACTATAGCTACATGTTACAACATGAATGGATCTCAAAGAGTTAGCCAGTAAATAAAGCATAATTCTCTGTTATGCTTTGATTGAGGCCAGACTGGTTCCTTCACAAAGAGAATACATATTGCATGACTTCATTCAAGTAAAATTTCTAGGAAAAGCAAGCTAACGCATAGCAACATAAAATGTACATTAGGACTGGAAAGATGGCTCAGCAGTTAAGAGACCTGACCGTTCTTCCAGAGACCAGAATTCAACTCTAAGCCCCCTTGATGGCCGGCAACCACCTGTAACTGTAGTTCCAAGGGATCTAACACCCTCTGAGAGCCTCTGAGGGCACTACACAAACGTAATACAGACAGACATGCATGCAGTCAAAACACGTAAAATAAAGGAAGTTTTTAAAAGAAAGAAAACATATAACACTGTGTGGAGATAGAAAAAGTTATAGGATAGATAAAAGTGATTACACAAAGGTACAAACAAAACATGAATGTGGCTTTGTCCCCTCTGTTGCCTAGTCGACTTGTCTTGTTATGTTGCTTGGTTGAACTCCTGAGTACCAGTCACCATCCTGCTTTAGCTTTCTGAGCAGCTAGGACTAAAAGCATATACAACGGGGCCTGGGTTTCTGATCAGTCTTAATTATGGTGATGGCTTCAAATTTTTTCACACACTACATATGTGCAAGACATTGTATATCACAGCTCTCTCGATAAAGAGGACTTTTTAAAGGTTTTTGATGTAAATTACATTTTAACTGTTTTCTAATTGTCTGGTGCATTAACAAATATGGGCGTTTATACACTTGTATTTACAAAATACATGATCAACATTTTAACGTAAATTTTCCACTTTCTGTCTCTTCCTACTATGTAGGTCTCTGAGCAATCAAGCCACCATGTATTGGTAATCTCTTCAGCAGTTCTAACAGTGGTTTTCTAAGGATTCAGCTCAGGGCACTAATGCAATCAGCATGACATCAGTGTAACTAACGTATTGACATACAAGCATGAAAAGCAGTGGTGATCCTATCACTCCCATGCAGATATTCCTAATAAATCGTTGTGCTCTCTTCTCTGGATGAAGGACTGCAGTTCTAATAGACTGGGCTTGGTCCCACCTCTACCATTCCAGAAGTTTAGTGGGTCCTGCTGACTATTTGATTTTCACCCTTACCTGGCTTTCTCTGTGTCATCCTGCTGCCCTGCTACAAGCAAAGAAAATGAGTATTACATTTCTGCCCTTGAATTTAAATAATTATTTCCTCTAAGAGCCAATTTAGGACTCATACATTTCAGGAAGCCTCCTATTGACTCAACTCAGGTTGTAATAAGTCTGACTTTTCTGGGATCCTTTCAACATCCTTCTATGCTAAATACTACCACACTCATCACTTGCTGCCAAGTTATCCTTGGGGCATCTCTGTCCTCACCTGAAAAATGGTGGAACCAATATCTACATTGAAGAATTGTCACGGGGACTAGAAATGATGTATGGTCAACGTTGGGATGTATGCTGCAAGAACACAAAGATTTGCTCAAGTTATATAACTCAAGCACCAGACTAGTGCTGGCATTCAGTAAATGCTCAATAAATATCTATTAAATAAAGGAATGCATAAGAGGCCTTTGACATACTGCAGCACACACACAGGAAGTTCAATCTATATACACAGTCAGTGCTCCGCAAGAACTGAATTCTTAGTCACTCTAGATGCTCTTCATGTCACTTACAATCATAATTTCTTAGTCAAGAATAGAGCCAGACCACGAAGAAACAAAGGATGCATGATTTCTAAAGATAAAAACAATGGCAAAAAACTTTCATAATTTCAAGCAAGAGCAGTTGATACACTATATTAAACACACACACACACACACACACACACACACACACACACACACACACACAGAGTTGATGCAAGGAATTTTTAATGAACTTAAGTCTTAGTTACCTTTTAATTGCTATGAAGAGACACCATGGCTGAGACAATTTGTAGAAGAAAGTGTTTCCTGGGGCTTACAGTTTCAGAGGATGAGTTCATGACCCATCATCGTGGAGGGATTAGCAGAAGCCAAGCATGGCCTTAGAGCAGTCAGTACCTGAGAGTTTACTTCTTGATCCACAATTGCCAGGTGGTGGTTGGCACACACCTTTAATCCCAGCACTAGGGAGACACAGGCAGATGGACCTCTGAGACCAGCCTGGTCTACAGAGAAAGTTCCAGAACAGCCAGGGCTACACAGAGAAACTCAACAAAACAAAACAAAACTTGATCCACATACACAAGAGGCAAAGAAAAACATTGGGAATGGTGTGGGCTTATCAAACCTCAAAGCCTATCCCCAGTGACATACCGCTAAAGGCCATGTCTCCTAATCTACCCAAACAGTTCTACCAACCAGAGACCAAGTACTTCAATATATGAGCTACAATCTAGGAGGGTCATTCTCATTCAAACCAAGACAAATGAAATTTATATGAAGGAAAGACCAGTACCAGAACCATGATGAGACTCAAACACACTCTAGGAAAAGAAAGGTAGTTCTCATCTAGCTTTACTGAAACTATTGTATTTTACTTTTTAAGGATTTATATGTTTTTTGTTTGCGTGTTTCTTTTGCCTCCGTGTGAGTGCCTGATGCTCCCAGAGGTCAGAAGAGAGCACTGGCTCCCTGGAAGCGTAATTACAGAATGCAGTGAATAGCCATGCAAATGCTGGAACCAGGGTCCTCTGGAAGAGCAGTTAGTACTCCAAGCCATCTCTCCAGCCCCTAGAAATAGTTTTAAAACACTATCCAAAAGTATTAAAATAATTACTAAATGTTTTTAGTACTCTAAAGTTGTGTGTCTCTCTCACTTTAATCCAATTTCCCATTTGCATAAAAGTTAAAACTACCTTAGAAATGTAGTATTTAAGCTCTCTACCAAATTCAATAGTCTCTGCTTAAGCTCAATGCTGCCTGCCTGTTTCCTGAGTGAGAAAAGCTCCCTGCTTCTGCAGGTGAGCCCCAGGATGAAGTTGGCTTATGCTTAAGGCGAGGCACTGTAGATGAGGTCCCTCAGCTCGGTGTGGTGCTGAGGTGGGGAGATTTATACCTCCCAGCTCAGTCTCCCTCCTGGCACATTCCCTTTAGTGAGGGAACGATGCATCACACCTGTCTCAGGGTATCTGTCTCAATCTCACACATGCAGACACTTGGCTTGTGTCCTGTGAATGAATAAATATCGTGACAACGTGACTCTCCTGGGAAGGCAACACCTTGGCTCTCGACCCAGCAACCCTTCAATCCAGCTGAGGGAGGGTTCAGCCTGTAGTCAGGAGCCTGAGCTCTTACAAATCACGAGCCATGTCCTCAGTCCACCAAGACCAAAGTGACTCTGGCATCAGGCTGTGCATCATCCCATTTGCTTTCTTCAAGTAATCATCTTATGTTGCTTCCTAAAAATTCAGTTTTACCCTGAGATGAAGTAGCACCATTTCTGCCAGCAATCACATGCAGAAACATGGTTCTGTTTTGTTTCTGGACATACTGTATTTGACAAATTTAGAAGGCAGTTATCACACCAGCATTCTCACAGGAGGAGGAGGGGATTTTCAACCAGCTCTAAGATGCAGGATAAAGAAGACATAAGGAAACCTATTTTGCAGGTTCCAAATCCCACTGGCAACACTGATCCAGCACCAGAAATGGAAGAACTGGATGCCAAGTGCTAGTGAGCATAATTCATCCTGTATGAAAACTTGGTCACAAGGGACAATGAAGTCTCCCTGGTCTCTCAATAAGAACAGATGTCCCTGGAAGCTCTCTCAAATCTGCTGCATTCTAGGAGACCATGAAACAGGAGACACACTTGGCACTGAACCTCCCATGGCCAAAATGTTACTTGACAACTGGATTAACGTAAAGAGCCAGAAAATGAACAGTCTTGACATGCTTCCCAGCCCCACTACTGTGTGACTCCTGTAGTCAGAATACTAGATTCTATGAAGTCAGCATAGGTATTTTCCAAATGAGGTAACAGATACTTAGCAAAACCCTGTACCACCATGGCAGTAAGGTCATGAAGACACCGGGTGGGACTCACCAGGAAGGCTTCTTCCAAGGTACCATAGCACCTCTGTTGCCCAGCGTTGCCGCTGAGCCCCAGACACACATGTTCACTCTGTACAGCTGCCCTCTGTACAGGCAGAGAACTTGCTACCTGCTATCAGACACCATTTCATCAAACGTGCTTCTCAACTGCACAGAGGATCTGACCGTCAACACATTCAGTTCTAGACCCTCACACAATTACAAACAGATGAGAAAGGTGAATGGAGAGTGATTTGTAATGCCCTCACTAAGAAAGAAAAGGACAGCATGTTTCCAAGGGCTTTGGCTGGTTTATGGCCATGGGCTCTCCAGCTACAAGAGGAGACACTGACAACTCGGGTCAGCACAGTGCCTGTGGTTGCTACTTATCATTCTTAGAGACGGGAAGGAAGGACAGAAACAGCCTAGACATACAGTCTATCAACTGATGGACGGATAATGAAAATGTGGTACACTTAGACAATGGAGTAATATTCAACTTAGAAAAAATGAAATTTGCAGGTTAATGGACTGAGTTGGAAACCATCATCTTAAGTGAGAAAACTCAGATGCCAGCTTTTAAGCTTTAGATATGTGTATTTCATTTGGAATGCCCATACAGGTTAGGAAGCTACAAAGGACCATGTATGAGTAGGGGAGCTTTCAAGCAAGGGGAAATAGAATATAATGGTAGAAAGAAGAAAAAGAGAAAAATGGAATCGAAGTGATTAAGTGGGGTGGGGGATAGGAGGAACAGGTACATGAGGGAATATGAGAAGCAATAACACTAAATTCTCTTTGAAAAAGCTACAGGGAAACATATTACAGGAGAAGATAGATAGATAGATAGATAGATAGATAGATAGATAGATAGATAGATAGATAGATAGATATCCTGTAATATTTATCTTTTAAAGAAAAAGAGGCCATGAATTTGAGAGCAGGGATGTGGGTGCATGGAAACAAATGAGGGAAGGAAAATGAGGCAATATTTTTATTAATAATTTAACAAATAGCCTTTAATTCCACCATTTGGGAGGCAGAGGCAGGCAGATCTGTGAGTTTGAGGCCAGCCGGGTCTATAAAATAAATCCAGGGCAGCCAAGGATATTAAAAAAAAAAAAAAACACACACACACAAAAAAAAGTAAGAAAAGAAAAAAAATGATGAAGAACCAGGCGTGGAGGTGCACACCTGTAATTCCACAACTCTGGGAGGCAGAGGAGGATGTTCAAGGCCAGTCCAGTCTACAAGGTGAGTCCAGAACAGCTAAGGCTACACAGAGTAAACTACGTCTCAGATAACAAACAAACCAAAAAAGAACAACAAAAGCCATACTGAAAAGCTGGCTGGCCTTCACAGTCCTGGAAGGTGCTAGGCACACTGTTTCCTTGTAAAGAGCTACCACTTTTGAAGAAAAGTAATCATCAGTCTCAACCCAGCTGTGGGAGATACAATAATCTATATGTCAAGATATGCCCAATGGTGGCACACATGTTACAAAGATAACCAACCACTTTCTTACTGGATTTAAGGCCCATTCCACAAAGCCAGCACTGTTACTGTTACTGAGGCCAAGAACCTGAAGCAAGATAGGTCACAAGGCCTACTATTACTATTCTGCTAAGCCTACAATTACTATTCTATTAAAGGGACATAGCATTAAAACAACTCCCAATGGCATATTGCTATATCCAAAGATCGGTGTATCTCTCAGTCCCCACCTAAGATTCTTCTTACATAAGAAAGCAGTAACACAGAGACTGCAACTGGTTAACGTGCAGAGAATAAGAAAGTTCAGAGAGCTCAGCCCAAATGGGACATTTATATCACACCTCTCCCCTGAAGGATCAGAGATCATAGTGAAGGGGGCAGAAACATAAGGCTCAGAGGTGACGGATTATTACAAAGAAACCATAGTTTTTGCTTTTTGTTTGGTTGTGGGCTTTTTGTTGTTGTTAGGTTTTGTTTGTATATAACAGGGCAAATGCACATAAGAACTCACAACAACTGTGACAGCATGCACAAAACCTGTGCACTCACAGGCCAAACAAAACTCCAACATGTGGGGGACGCAGACACATCCATGCCTCTACTGAGGAGCTATTGGCATTGGATAGCTACTGGGTAAGGCAGAGTCAGTTTTCTTTAATGGCTCTGATGCATGGGCCACAGTCCATGGTAGGGACCACACCCGGAAGGAGCTGGCCACCACAAAACTGACTTGATGTATTTGAAACGAGACAGAGACCGAGAGAGAACACAGAGTTGCGGAGGTAGTGAGGTGGAGGCAGATGTAGGAGCAACTGAGAGAGGAGATGACTGCAGTCAAAATGCAGTGGATGAAATTCTCAAGGAATAAAATACTAGGTTTTACTTTTATTTTTATTTTTATTTTTATTTTTTGGTTAAAAAGAAAAGAAGGATAGATGCAGCTTAGGATCAAAGTATTTGGAAGGCCATGAATATCATTCCCAGCAGTGTAAAAAGAAAAAAAAAAAGGCTAATGAAAGTTGATGAAGTCACATATTCTTTCTTTATTCATTAACATATTTTTTATTATAAAACTATAATGATCACATATGTTCTAGTCAACCAGAAGTGGTGGCACAAGCCTGTAACCCCTGCACTCAGGAGACAGACACAGGATCTCTGAGTTTGAAGCCAGCCTGCCCTACACAGAGCATTCCAAAGCTCCCTCAATGCAAAACCTTTTTCTGTCTCGTTTATTGGTTTATGCCAAGACTAAGTGTGAATCTAATGTTGGGTAGATTCTTCCAAAAGGAAGAAAAAAAAATGTTTGTGAATGAAATGCCCCAAACAAGGAGAAAAGTACCTAGAATGCAGCAAAAGTCCGTATCACTGAGCAACTGGTAAATTATTCTCAGAAATGCCTTCCAGAATGGATTCTAGACCTAATTTAGGATTCAACCATACAAAGCATTTACATCCTTTCCCCCCTGAAATTAGCATTTTATCCCTGGTTTGATGTTAACATTCTCTCAGGTTCTCTCTGTGCCTCAAGCATCAGTTAACAGTACCAGAAGTAAGTGACTCAATGGAAAACACCAGAGCTGCTTTCCCAAGTTCAGCTTTGGTGGACTAAAAAGAGCTCCTTATGAAGAACTCCGCACCACAAGTCAGGTTTCTTAAGTAAGTGAAGCAGAGCGTAGGATGACTACAACTTTACTAATGCTGCAGTTGTACCTAGAAAGAGAGCTTTCTACCAAAGAGCAAATAACAAAGTGAACTAAGACGGAAGGTATAATCATGCACCTCAGAATCCTAGAGAGACAGTGGCCCCTAAAGCATCACTAAGGTTCTTTCCACCTTTTTGTTTTACAGAGCATACACAGATTTCTAAATATAAATGTGTACATTTCAATGCTGCCTAGATAGCTACTACATACTTATGCTTTACAATCTGCTCCAGCGCAGTCAATGAGAACTATTCCTCCTTTAGCGTAAAGGGCAAAATCATGTCATCCTTTCTTCTACACAGCCCATCAAACTACCTTGAGATCAGACCCAAACCTGCTTCCTTCCTCCACAACTGATAGCTGTATGAACCTGCACCCTGGCCTACATCGCCTAAGCTTGCCCTTCTACAGTCTGCCAATCAGAGCCTCCTGAGTTGTCTGTCCTCTGAAGTGTCAACACAAGGACTCAGCGTCCTGCCCTGAATGATGGCTAGAGGACTGTGTATGATCGTTAAAGCTTACAGAGCTGCACATCAGCAATCTGGAATTTTCCTGCATAGCATCAACGTTTTCAGAAAAGTGAGCTGGATTACGGGAGATCTGTACTCAAAATCCTGAGTTAAATATACTGAAGTTGCTGGCAGCACACCCAGAAATCCTGAGGCAAAGGTACTTGGATCTCTGAGTTCAAGGCCAGCCAGATCTACAGAGAGAGTTTCAGGACAGCCAGGACTATTTAGATAAACCCAACTAAAAAAAGCAAACAAACAAACAAACAAAAAACAAAAACCACAAAGGAAAACAAACAAAAAACTCTGAAGTCTGATTAGACTCCCTATGACCTCTTCAACTTCATCTTCTTCTCTTTCCCCTTGCTCCACTCTGGCCAACTCCACCCTCCCTTGCTGACTGATCATCAAACAAGCCAGGCATGCTTCTGCCTTTTAGAGATTGTACTGATTGTTCACTCAACAGTGAACAACTCACCGACACTCCGAAGCGCCAAAGAAAAACCAACTTGCTCCAACTCATCTGGGTCACCTTCCTGGTTGAAAACTGCTACACATCTCCAAACTACATACACCCTCAATCCCTTACCTTGTTGCACTCTGCCTTTTCCTTCCACTTTTTTAAAAGTCAATTTAAAACTCAAAAGAACAACAGCCTTTCTCTCATTCATCAATTTGCTGAGAATGTAAGAAAGCATCTGGAAGACGGCAGTTGTTCAGGAAATAGTTACTGAATGAACGAAGGTGCACCATGAGTACCCCAAGACACAAACACTGCCTTCACCCCTGTGGATTCAACATTACAGCGATGATTGCTAAATAAATGGTTTGGCCTCTGCAGCTTGCAAGTTCTCTGTAGGCTGGCTATTCGTTACAGTTGAGTGTCTTAAAACTATACAACTACACAACAGGCCCTACTAGTCTACCTGCTCCCGAAATCAAGTTTAGCAGGAATTAGTTAAGCTTTTCTACTGCTGCATCTCTCACCCTTAAAGGGGCACCCCACACAATTACATACTCAGTAACAGAGCACACTCTCTGTGGACAAAGAATAAAGGTCTTGCTTGTCTAGGCCATTTATGAACCTACATGGCAGATTTGGGGGTATGAAGAAGAAACAGCAGACATATAGAAGAGGCTCAGGCCTGGGGTCATTCTTCTCATCCTAATGGCCAGACCCAAGTATCACAGCGAGGAACAACACACAGAAACCTCTCTCAGTGTTCTTGGGAACCGAGAGGCGTGGGCGTCTGTAAGCACACCACAAAAGCACTCACTGCAGGTGAGAGCCCTTGGAACTACTATTAGGGACATAACATCAAAGACAGGCTCTGGAAGTTGATGGAGGAGAGTGCCAGGGCATTCTGAGCATGAAATCCAGGTCAAACACCACTTCTGCAGAGAACAAGCTTTTCCAAGGACATTGCTGGGATTTCCCTTTGCATTGTGACCTCATTACCTCATTTCTCCCACTTGAACCTCATACCATGGCCACCTTGAGCACAGACATCCACGGCAAACACTTAGTTATCACGTGTCCCAGGCCTCTGTTGAGTATGTTTTCAAAACTTAAAAAAATTTGCTTGGAGGATACAAAGTTTTTCCAAAGAAGAACATACTTCAACCAGCAAATGAATACCAGCATAGGGTATGACTTTGACTTCTTGAATTTTTGAAATTGTGAGTGCCATTGT